ACCCCCACTCGGTGCTTCAGGAGGAGCCCACGCACACCTCCTCTTCCCGCTGCATCAGAAGAGGGTTGCTGGAAAAAGGCAGCATCCGTTGGATGGCAAATGGGCAGGAAGCTTAACTTCTCCATGAATAGCAACAGCATTAGTGCCGCTGTAGAGATGTAATAATATAGGCCATGTCAGCAAAGTTATAAGAGTTTATCTTAATGAAGGCATTCATACTAACCATCGCTTTTGGGAGTTGTTTTGCACTATGTTCCTGCTGCGTTGTCAGGATGTCTGAGTGAATCAGAGTGCGGTGAATGCATATAGGGGCATTGCTGTCAGGATTACTACTTACTTCCCTTAGGAGCTAATCCAGCGTCTATTCAATTCATTAAATAGTCACCTTGTGGAAAGCAGTGTGGGAGTTTGTATCCTGCTTTGTCAGACATTGCCCAAGCCAATGCAACATTGAAAGCCTGTATTTCTCACTTCATTGACACTTTTATGTTAGTTTGTTTTGTGAGGACAGTGTCGTCTTCACTATAGAGAGTGTAGCTCTCCGCTTTCAGCAAGTATTTCTGTATTTACTTGATTTTAGGAAAAAATGATTAAAACTATTAAATAGTTTTATAAGCATGTAATCCAGACTAAGACGATTTAGCTGCCTGTGGAACAGTTTCCCTCAAACACCTTTTCGTTCTCGGAAAGTATCAACAAAGACCACTGGGGGGAGCAAATGACTTGTGCAAATCCAAGTCTCTGTGGAGACTCGAGACCTCTCTTCGTAGACACTATAGGGAATTTGGATGCTTAAGCACCTAAAATGTAAGTATGAATTTGGTGCCTAAATAATTATTTAGGGTTCAAAATTTAATCGTATGCCTTGTGGCATCTGTGCTAAAGCTCTGTGTCATTCCTAATTCATTCTGTTATCTTCTGTATGGGCTGTACCTTTTGCTGTCATTCCCCCTAGCTAAGCCCCTTGTTCCTGTTACCACCCTTTTCTTTACTATCGTTTACTATCGTTTGCTTTCAACTACCATCTTCAACTATACTAACTTGTACTCCTGCAGCCTCACAGAAAATCTAGTGAGGTGCAACCTGAGGTGCCAGGGGAACAAGACCACTTGTAATCCCATGCTGTGAGATGGCAAGAAATTTCTCTGGCAGCAGAGTAAGTGAGGGGCAGGATCAGGAAGTTGGGAATCTCATGCCGCCAGATATGACAGGACTGGCAAGGAAGGGTGCATAAAATTTGTGTGGGAATCTGTTCTGCCATGCTTAAACTGGGCACTACTATTAGCCAGTTACAGCTCGCTCTTTTCAACTGGTTGTATCTAAGGCTGTATGTTCATCTATAAGCTTGGCCTACATGTACACCTTACACTGTAACAACTATGTTAATTAGAAGCATGATTTTTCTTTTTACTAAAATAATTACATCCTGAACAGCATAACTGGATGCAATCACAGGGTATATCTTACTTCCATTCTTTAGAGAAAGAAAGAATATCAGCATAAATACTAAAATATATTGGTTTTACTTTTTAGCGGTAAGCTAAGGTCTTGGTTGGGTATTATTCCACAGTTTTACACTAAGGCAAATTCATTTATATACAGGCAAGTACAACCAACAGATTGTTCATGAAATTTTACATTGAGGTGCTGTGTGATGTAGTGCACTTCACGTTGGTTTGTGTGCAATTACAAGACAAATGGGTAAACAAAAAAGAGAAGAATACTTCTGAGAACATACATTTATAATGTTCCTTTTTAATATGTGGAATGGCAAGCTGATTTCTTAGGCATTGACTTAGCAATGAGGGCTACACAGACAAATAGTCAAGGCCTCGGTTTGTTACATTTATTAATCTTCAGGGCAAGGAAGAAGCAAATATATGTCAGACTACCTAAGAATAAATGCTAAAATTACAAAATTTTAATTTGAAAACAAGTCTGATCACAGGAGTATAAAATGAGCCTTAAAATTGTACAAAAATGAATGTATTGTAGTTAATCTAAAAGATCACCAGTTGGCATTTACTTTCTAATTGTGTTCCATTAAGCCCCTAAAATTATATTCTTCTGGCACTTATTGTATCACATTGTATACTTATTTCTAGGAAAGGTGTAAATAATTAATACTTTTCAAAATAAAATCTAAAGAAATAAAACCTTATGCTGTTAAAACTACTAATATTTAGAACAGGCAAGGCAAATGAAATGCATTAACTGCCAAATAGGTTATTTTAGGGAGCAAATCTACATAACTTAAAGCAATAAATATGAAGTTTTCAAATTAAGAAAACCCAGCAATTCACAGTAGGAGGTGGAACATTCAGGGCAGTAACCTCCATTTAATATCTTTTTTTCTGCATTAGAGATGGTTCTACAAAATGGGCAATTTTTGTCTCCTCTTTGTGTCCAATTGTGTTTCACAATGAGGCAAAGGAAAACTAACTGGCTGTAGAGTTTTTCCTCGAGAAATCAAAGTATTTGAGATTTTTTTAACAGATTGAAACATTGTATTTTATGTAATTATACTAACATGGGTCTTCCAATCCTCTTTAGAGAGTAAGAGATCTTTAAGAGAAAAGTAGATCTTTTGCTGGTTTTCAGTTGCTTAAAAGCTACTGATACCTGTAGCCCAAGGTAGCCTCTGCATTGTCTTAGTCTGAAAGCACTTCATTTAAAGGATTGCTTCCTTTAAAGTGACAGTATTTGTAGAAATTAATCACATCTCAATCTATATTAATAGATTTCATCCTCACTGTCCCCAAAGTGTAGGCTAATTATGTGGCTAATGCGCTTTCTTTACTTGTTTTAGATTAAAATCCAAATTAGGTCATGTAAAAAATTGACCAGGAACATAAATGCATTGAAGATGAAATCCACCCTTTGCACATGTGAGTTTTACCCTGTGGGCATTTCTAGGAAATACTTTAGCTGCTTGCCAGGTGTCAGATCAGAATTTATTATTGTACCTGCATAAACCATCATCAGTGATGAAATACTGTATATCACTGTGAATCTTTTATGACCAGGGTTACCAAAGTGCTACAGCTCTTCAAAAATATTTTAAAATCTAAATGATTTCAAATACACCACGACTGTATTTATGCTTTAAACAAACCTTTATTTTGTAAAGCTTAAAAACTTAATGTATTTGCAAAAGCGTGAATGTTCATATATTTGTTCAGGAATCATAAACCAAAAGGGGACAACTTATACATACACTCATACTGAATCAGCTTTGTATTAAAATCTAGACAAGGAAAAATAGTTCCTACTTTGATTTGGACCTTTTAAATCTAGACTCAACTTCAGAATAAGATTTTACTTATATCTTACTCATATTTAAAAGCTGAAGTTTATTTCAGGCATGTCACTTGTCACTTTCAAATAGCCGGCAGTTTCATTCCAGATGAGCTCAATGTAGTTCTTAACATGGATACGTCTTGATTCCCAAGTAATGCTTTGAAAATAGAAGATGTGGGTCATTACAATGTTCATTCTACTGCACAGTAAATTGAAATGTGGCACACACCAAACTTTATTCACCTCAGCTGTATTACTCTCTGGAAGCTGGAATTCTTCTCGACTCCAAAATGATCTACAGACACAGCTATGCTATTGGCATACATTGTCGGCCGTAAGGAAAAAACACCTGCTCAAAAACCTGGGTGTACCAGCTGAAATATAAGCTGAAGTATAACCTATAAAAAAAAAAAAATTTTCACAAGGATAAGCAGCATTTATTTTGATTACTCAGTATAGCTGTATTAGCAAATGCTTTACAATGCAGAGCAACTCCAAGAAAGTTTATACAGGTCCCAGAATATTCTGCCTCTCTATAATGTCAGCATTTGCTGCAGAACTCATATCTAGAAAGGAAAAAAGCTCCCCTGGCTGGCAAGCAAACTAAACCATGAAGATCCAGTTGACTACATAGCAGTGCATTATTACATCTTCAAAGATGAACTAGCCTCCTCATCTCCATGGGACGCTGCATTAATGCACTCTTTCTGGCGTCCCTTAGCATGTCTCCTGCAAGCAACACTGTTTTCCCTTCCAAAAAGTAGTTTCTCCCAGTGGCTTCTGCAATTAAAAAATCTGCAGTATTTTCAATATGTGCCAATGATTTAGATTAAAAATAATTCATTAGTAAATGTATAAGAAATAAAAGACCCTGCCTGGCTTGTATCCAGCTTTATATATAATTCATTCAAAAATCATTTGAATTATAGCTGCCACGGAGCTCTCTGGATGCTATTTCAAAAGTTACAGCCACCAGTGTAAAAATGCGCCCTTCAGCGTATGGCAGAGTGCATAGCATCTCATTTCTACAGTCCTGCCCATCCTGGACTCAATCTTCTGACCGTACCAGTCCAACATCTCTGCCAATGCGGTCCAAGCACAAGGTTAGAAACCGTTAAGTTATTAAGGCTGATAGATCCCCTCTCTCTCTTAACATTCGAATTGGTTTTGCTATGTACATCACTGCGATACTGCAGTGAAATACCAGTCGGAAAAAGTAACTTCCAGAGGCGTACATTCTGTCCCTATAGACAAATACATATGTGAGTACTGTCAACTTTAAGAAATTAGAGCTAAAATTCAAACACTTGATTACATTTGCATAGTTGTGAAAATTTATTAGTTACAGTGTAATGAAAATCAGCTTTTTTGGTACAGGCAGAAGTAAAAACATACATTATATAGAAAAAAAAATCACAGCTTTAAAAACTGGCTTACATTGTTTAAAATGAGTAAATCCGGTTGTTTTTCAAGGACTTTAATACTTAAATTTATGCCAAACTATCACACAGTGCAAGAAATATTCTGCAATAGCACAAATTCCATACAGCAGTCTTCAGAGCATTTAGTCTCACAGAATCTCATGTTGGCAAAAAATGTGCTGAATATTTTTCCATTTACACACAAAACGTTGTTGAAGTTAAACTTTTCTCTCTTTACATACTCTCTATTACAAAAATATCAAATCGCGAATTTGACAGTGTATTCTACAAATAAATGCGCCGTGGACAACAGGAATTGCAACTTTGAGACAGTTACTTTACAAAGTGTATTATAAAAATAAATTATATGGCAAGCGTCAAACAAAATCAAGCACGTGCCTTCGGCTTCTTTGCAAATAAAAGTAAAATTCAGCTGGCAGAAAGACTGCTTCTCTCCCTCTCTGACTATGTACTTCCCAAATATCAGCAAGGCCCTTCATTCTTAAAGGTCTACCAAGAAAAAAAATATATAAAATCTGATGGAAGCAAGAAATACTTCCATAAATAATCAGTAGCACAAGTGACCCTGGTGTTGATGGTAGAGAGCTTCTACAGTGATCCGTCTGACTGGTAAGGAGGGTAGTGCACACAGCGTATCGTTGGGGCAGTAACTCATCTAGAGTTCATGCGTAACTGGTGAATGATGACACTCTCTAAAAGAAAAGAGAGCAAAACATTTAGGTTTGTGCAACTGCAATTACATTACAAGTTACTTTAAAGAAGGACAATTACAATGGCAATGCAAAGCATCTTTCTTCTAGAAATGTCTCGCGGACTTAGTCTCATATTGCCGGTTGATAAAAACTGTCCTGGTTAATGCGACAAAGGGAAACTAAATTAGTACCAGTCTAGGGCTCGGAGGCCCTTGGCTTCCACTTCAATGTCAAGACCATCATTTGGCCATCCATAGGGAAAAAGGATAATATAGTTGAATGGACTAAACCGCAGGAACACCAAGGTTCCAGTCCCACACCCGAATCAGGTAGAGGAAGACTTGGAGTTGGGTCTCTTGTATCCTGTCTGAACAAATCCATCATAAACTCGCTGGCAATTCTGAAATGGGGATGAGGAAGAGATATGAGGTCAATTCTCATTTTTAATTGAAGTTTGGTTTAGAAACCTATGCTGGTTTTATAACTGGTTTAGCTGCTTGAATCTTGCTACTGACTTTAATGGGGATAAATTTCAGCTACAGCATGCAAAACTAAGCGTTGGCATTGTCTTTGAAAGGCTGGGTTTAACTTTGCCTTGTGAGTAATGTAGGAGATCCCTGATCCTCTGCTGAAATACTAATGACCTGGTCTTCTGTTCTTCTATCCATATATGCTGCTCTTACAGGCAACTTTTGTAATGTAAGAATTTAGCTATCAATGACATTTCTCTCTGAAAAGGTGTATTTTATGCATTTCAAACAACATAACTGTACCAATGCTAACTACAAACAATTTCTGTTTCAATACAGAATACATTTTCAGAAATACTCATTTTATTAATTGAAATTGTTTTCTTTCTTAAGATTCCTTCCTCTCTTAATAGTCTGGATTTTTCAGAATTTACATGACCCAAGAAATGACACTAATCATATCACTATTCCCTTTTACATTTTTATTGATTTCTGCCTTTGTCTGCTTCCCAACTAATATTTGCAAGATGTCTGATTAAATTACATTATAAGAGGAAAGAAAACCAAAATGTTTTCCATGTACTCTTAATGCCAGAACTTTGACACTAGATGGCAGATTCCAGTGATGCTTTTCATACATGGTGACATCGGAAAAGCAGGGCTAAGGCAACATTCAAGAACATATGTTAAGGCAAATGAAATAATAGAATTTCCTAAATAGAAAATATTTCTTTTCCATATAATTTATCATTAAGAAATTATTTTCAAAAAGATATGTATACCTGTTCTCCCAAATTTAAGCAATGAATGTGAAAGAACCACAAACTGCAGTAAATATTTACCTTACAACCAGGGCTGTTCTCTAGCTTCAAGCTCTTGAGGAATATGATGTAAAAAGCTGCATTTACTTAATATCAAATTGTAACCTCTGGTGAAATCTCCCGTTTACTTCAACAGGAGTCACACAAACTCTATACAAAACAATTTTTTTCTTAATATTTACTATGCATATTATATATTAATATGGAGTTTAGATACCAAAATTTAAAAACTAAATGTGTAGCAGAAAAATATCATGCTCCTTGTAAAGGCTCAATTACTGAACAAACAGCAAAACTACAGTAGGTTTCTGAATCAGTCTTCCTCCTACAGATCAAATATAGCAATTATGCAGGGAAGATCAGGATAAATAATTAAAAAAATCAAACAATTTCCACTTCTAGTATTTGTTCATTCATTTCTCACACACGTGTACATGTATGCTCTTAGTTTTTCTAACCATTTTTTTGTCTTTAAAATGCTTAGATATATAAATAAATATATGTATTTATACACACACATTGTAGTTACTAAAAGAGGTGTCCAAACAGTTATTAAGCTAAAATTATAGTAGTGTAGATTTTGTCCGAGTTCTGTAGGACTAACCTCTGTAGGAACATGATCATATCTGTAGGATATGATTACATACATTTTTCTAGGGTTATAGATGTGAATATTTCAAGGTGCTATGAGTTCACTTTATGAAAACTATTTTAATGACAGGAAAAGAAAGTGAAGTTAAGGTAAAACTGCTAGTTCTGCTTTCAGTCCCACTGATGTAAATCAGAACTTCTCTGGGAAACACATCATTAGCAGCTGGCCTATCAAAAATACCAGTTCATGTAATGAAGCACATCAACTGACATTTTAACATAGGAAGTTTAATTTTTTCTTACAATATATACAAACAAATAACACCAGATAATACAAAAATGTTTGTACCACAGACAACACACGACTGCAAAGAATCATATGTCAGTATTTCTATTTTTAAAATCCTGTTGAAGAGAGTTTTTAAAGTGAGGAACCATTCATACCTGAGTGATTGGTACTTGACTCTCAGAGCTGATAGCTCGGCATCTGAGAGTGTTTAACCCTGATTGCATCTTCCAAAAAGCCAAGTAAGAGCAGTGTGTAGGTAGTAAGAAAGATTCAAAATGAAGTTATCCTCTATAATGAGAAACGTGACATACAGTTTTGCCTGAGAGAGCATGGAAAGAGGGTAACTCACACTGATGTAGGGGAGAAAAACATTCCCCTAAATGAAAACAAGTTCGAAGGATGAGCTCACAGAAACTCCTGCCAGCAAGCTACAGGTTTCAAACCGACTCAATGGCATTGGCCACTAATGTGTGATGGGAACATTTAATTAGTCTGAAAATTGCCTTGACTGTTGCAGTTTATGCCAAGTACCTGAAACCCAGCAGGACAGTAGCTTACTCTCTTTAAAGACATGCTCTTCCACTTCTGATCAGAATCTGAAAACTCATGTATATGGTGGGCATGTTTTAGAACATGTGTAGCATATTTCAGGCAGTACCATATAACTTGGCATCCAGTTGGCATGAATCAACATATTAACGTGACTTTAGAGATTACTCACATGATGCTAATTACTATGTGCTGTAAGTGGTTTGAGGTTTAAATATGGTAACATACATACTTTATGGGCTTATTCAGAAGAGTCACAAAGTGTTACTTGTTTCTTGAAAATCACAGTAATGGGTGTCATGAAAGGAAGAAAAAGTGGGCAAAATAAATCAAAATCTCTGTTTTTCTTTTATTATTTACTTAGCTTGTTTACCGATCTGAGAGCAATCCCTCAGGGGTTAGGGCTGAAGTTTCCTTAGGCTGAAGCTCCCTCATTTTTGGTCACACTTACTCAAATGTATGGCTCTGCTAATGACTACATTAGCAATACTCATATGTAACAGTAATTCAGGCGATGGGATCTAATCTAGACCACAGTGGAAAACTTAGTAGGAACCAGATTTAAAATCACAGAGATCATCTGGAGAACTGAGGGTGCACCTTCTCATTCCATGTGTGCTGCTCATGAATGGGTTGGCATTGCCCCTGCTTTTCTGCTTCTCCACCTTACTGCTGTGCCAAGCCATATGTTCCCATTGCTGGACCTGAGTTATCACAACTGCTTATATGCCACACAGCCAGCCAGAACAGGGTATGTCTCCAGCTGACACTGAATCCTACCAAAAATTACAAAGATGATTGGTTCTCAGCCAGCTCAGTTCCTGATGAAGCACTGTAACTATCATTACTATTCTGACTTGAGTGCATTTTGCTACTGAAACTGTTCCACTTCATTTAAAAAAAAAACCAATATAGAGAAAAAGGTAAGAGAGGGAAAGCATGAGGATGTCATTCTAGATGATCACCTGGGCAGAGGAAGGCTTGGTTTCTGCACTGTAATCCAGTAATGTAGAATACACAATAAGCCCTGTAAATAAAGGCCCTAATATTTTCCTATGGATTGGTGTCTCAGAGTTTGATTCTTTGGTGTCTAGTAAAATCTGAGGTCTGAACAAAGCTTGTCCTTGTGGTATTTCTGACGTGTTCATTTTTTTCATTCACATTTTCTCCTGTGTTCATTCTTTGATGTTGTATGAAGGTAAGCTCATGCGACATTCTTCCGCACAGTGGGGCACTGCTAAGGTCTTGCTCTTCTTCTCTGTCACCCTTTTCATTAAACTAGAAGAACTTCTTACTATGGAGACTCCTATTGCTTTGTCAGATTTGGTTGAAATTGGTGTTCAATGTTATTCATCAATGAAAGACAGATGGAGGGATGGATGAACACAGACACTTCATCTTATAAGCCACCTTTTCACAAAAGGCCAGGCTGAAAAGCAGCCTTTGGAACAGGGACCAGAATCTGGGGGGAGCTCCCTCCTCCTAGTTCAATATCCTGACCACTCACCCACTCCTTGTTTCTGCTCAGTGAACACTGAAGCCCTCTGTGCAGAACAGCACAGTCGTTACACAAGGGAATAAGAATGGCACCTTCTTCTCCCTCAACTGTCTGTTAGTGCCATTGGTGAACCTGGCTGGAGCCAATGTGGGTTTGAGCCTCCTCAGATATTGGTGAGAAGGGGGACCCGTCTCCTACCTTTGAAGAAAGTCTGCAATCAAAAGGTTTTAAAATAAGCAGCACTACCCCTAAATTTGTGTGGTATCTGATCTATCAGGAGGCATTCATGACTCCACAGCCACTGGTTTCCTACACCTTCCTTCTTTCTTTTTCTGGCCTGAGAGCCTGGAACTAATGTATATTAAAGCCAGTCTTTATGCTTTTTTGCCAGATTCCTTTTAGTTCTGATCGGTTCCCCAGTTAAGTTCAAACATTCATGCCAGCTCAAGGGACATCCACACGGAAGTGAGTACTTTCTTGAGTGGAGGTGACAAAGACAGGACTACAGCTTTTGACTCCAGTGAGGGTTTACATCCTGACTTTAAGTGACCATGAAATTGTGGCTTGACTTAAAGCCCTTAGAGGAAATACAAGAATACCTGGATTATGGATCTCGATTAGGTTCAGAGGCTGCAGTGCTAGTTAAGTCATAACTGAAACTGACTAGAGAAGTGCAGTGGAAGAACTTCAGGAGGATCTTCAGGATGCCTCTGGGGCTTAGGCACTGTCATTAGACTTGGTTGCCTAAATTGCCTTCTGGTGCTGACCTACTGAATGGAGAATCTTATTGTAGTCACTAAAAATAACTGTCTTCAGATTCAGAGGAAATTCCTATATAATAAAGATAGTTATGCTTCAACTTTTAAGACTTCTGAACTATAGGCTTTCTTTTTTTCTTCATCTTACCCTTCTTCTACCTTCAAGAAACAAGAATCTTAGGTCAATTAAAATATGTTAAAAATGACGAGTACAACTAAATACCTATTTTTAGCTAACGGTTAAACCAGTTGCCTGATTCCAACTCTTTGGGCTTCTGCTATGGAGCAAAAGTTCCTTTTTGTTGTGCTGCCCCTGGGAAAAATAACAGGATCCTTGGTCTGACCTGTCTGGAATTTCTCAAGCCTGTCTCACCAAATCCTACTGACTCTACAAGAGTAATCCTTGGGTTGTGCCTGCAGTTCTGGTTCAGTTGTGCTAATTTGTGTGTCCTGGATTTCAGGTACTGTAAGGCTGGCTTGTTTCTTCAGGTGAATTAGTTTCTTAGATCTCAAGCAAAACAAACAAATTTTTCAACCACAGGCACATGTAGAATATTGCCTTGAGTATAGCAACAGCTGACAAAGGAACTAAGTTTCTTTGAAACAAGGATCTGAAAAGGAAGGCTTAAGACAGCTGTAGTTCATCACTGTATCGAGCCACATTAGCTTGGGGCTCATGTTTGCAATATTATTTAAATGACTGTTTTGACCTAAAGATTTGTTTCAGTGCCAGTGTTTAGACTGAATATCCAGCAAAAAGCTCTTAATAATGTGTTTTCTTCAACCATCTGCTAAAAAATCTATGTTACAATAAGAACAGTAAGATCTCGGCAACAATTTATTGACAAATTGAGGCTTTTAAGTGGTAACAATTAGTTGAGAGGATCTGATGTATTTCCGGCATAGTAACTCACATTGCTTGCTAATTCATTTCCAAGTTTTATCTGAAATATTGGGAATTGAGCGTTATGAAAAATGCTACTAATACAAATTTGATTTTCAGATGTCATAAAACCCAGAACCTTAAAATTAACAGGTACTGCAGGTGCTACACGTGTAAAAATTGAAACTGACTTCTGATGTGACAGCAGCTTTTACACCACAGACAAAATGCCCTTCACGTGAATAATAAAATGCCAACTTTACGCTGGGATAATGGCTATATCTGGATCTTAAACTGGAGAGCAATGCAAGGTACAGACTGAAGACTAAACATTGCTTGGACTGAATATAATTTTGTTGACCTTCTGCGGCAGATTCTTCCATCAAATCTCTTCTCCCAGACATAAAGCCATTTAATATTTTACCCACTGGTGCATTTTCTTTTCTGTGAATTGTATTTGTTATTTATTGGTGGTCTTCCTGTCTTGCCATCTGAAAGCCATTGCTAACCACTGGGTCCTTTACAGCTTGTTGTGGTGATTAAGGTATTATACATGCTTTAAAACCCTCATTTATCAGTCTGCTCGGCTCCATTTCTTTTGGTTGTGACTTTCTTCTGTGGAAATTGATCACTTAATGGAAATGCCCTTTAATAACTTTACTGTTATTAAATAAACAATCATAACAATCATCAGCATCCACTCCATTTCCATGCTGGAACAGTTCCTTAAAACATGCTTAAAAATGCAAACATATAAATAAGGAAATCACAAAGAGGGAAGGAAAAATGATGAATCGCCATGGTATTGTGAGGCAGTCTGCATTTAAGACAAAATATTTCAAACAACGGGGAATTGAGAGTAACTTCCATACCAAACCCTATCTCTTTCACTGTCTGTACCTGAGCTGTGCCTTTAGATAGCAATTTCTGCCAGCGGCTGTCTGTGTTTACTTCCCCTCTAAGACATAAGGATGCTTGGCAACTAAGGTTTAAATATAGCACAAGTCCATCCAACCAGGAAAACTAAAAAAACCTAGTGAAGTCAGTGGAGTGATTTACTTCATAGCCTTTAGCGGTCTTTGGAGCAGGCACAAATGGAATGTATTGATTTCAGGCAGATCAATGTTTCTCAAGCTTTTTTTAAGGACTAAACGCCTTTTGTCTCATTTGCCTTCATCTGACCCAAGCTGGCAGTATCCTGGCATGTCTAAGTCAGGGACCCGGCTGTAAGTACTGTCTACAAGTGTTAACCCCCTCTGGAAGAAACAAGCTGCTGCTTAGCTCCACTGCTGCTGAACGTTGTGCAACTTCCCTACCCCCTTGAATTTTGTAACCACCTTGAGAAGGCAGCTCATCACTGAGAAACGCTGATGTGGATGGGAGACTCCCAGAGAGACGGCTGGCCACAGGGGACCCATCCTTTCTCTCTTCCCCTCCCTCCCGCACCTGAGGCACTAGTTTATATTAAAATAGGACCTCAAGTGGGCTGTCTCCTGGCATTGCTTCCCTAGGCGACGTGGCACCTCAAAAGATGTGATCACAGGCAGGAAGGAAAGTGCCCCATGCAGTAGCGAAGGTGGGAAGTGATCCGTTAAGGTGGAAGACAATCTAGTAAAAGTGACCAAACTTCCTTTGATCAATTAAAAAGTGGCAAAGTCTATCATTAAGAAATCCTGGGCTAGATTAATAACCTAGTGCAGTTGCCCCATTCTCGCTTCCTAGGCTGAAAATCTTCCTGGCATACAACTGCTTTTTAATGGCTCTTTTTTTGAACTTCAGTAAGAAAACAAAAGGATGTTGTTACTTAAGTAGTCAGTGCACACACTTATTAGTTTGTTGTAAGTGACAGCTGCAGGACTTCATTAGTACAGGCAAACGTGAGCAACTACACAGACAGGGGTCTGACTTCCATGGCAGCAGTAAAACCTGCAGAACATACCCCCTGAGCCACTGCCATCAGCCCTGACCCCCGCCCAGGGAGGCAGAGCTGCTGGCTGAAGATTTCTTCAGTTCTATTTTCATAGACTGAGTCTCGGCACGAGGCTCGAATTTTGTCACATTTCCTGCTCCTGGGGCTGCCACTACTGGCTTTCCTGCTTTCATACCTTTTGACACAGGAATGCGGGTGGGTGCAGGTCTCGGGGATGACCCATCCTGTCCTGTCTGCAAAAGAGAGAGACAGAGAGAAATTACGTGAATGGACTTCTCCTTCTCATATATGCTCATCTTATACTTTTCATTGGTTCTTCATTCACCTCTCAAGCAACAATGTCCCAAATCACGCCTATAAGCAAATTAACGTTCACATTTGGAACGTGGCCGTAGAACATACTGCTAGAATAAGGTACAGTCAGCATCAAATGATTTTCCCAGAGCTGAGGTCTGTTGTTTGGATGTCGTAGGGATGGGAATCGCTGCAAAACTCCGATCCCGCAGCACGACAGTGCAGGACAGCCATAGAGGCAGACCTCTGCCAGCCTGCCACCCTGGACAACAGCCTACCAAGCACACTTATCCCCAAATTTGAGGTCTTCAGAATAAAAAGAAAAACATGGCCTTGAGAAATTTTTAATGGTTTTTTTTAATCTTCTGTATGGAATCTGTTTGGGGACCCGTGCACGGGGCCGGCAGACCCAACACGATGCCTGCCAGGGATCTGTGCCCTTCAGGAGCCCCAGCTGGAGGCCAGGCTGGCTATCCTATAGCTTTGAAAATGGTAGTTGGTACATACATTTAGGCAACTGAATCCCACTGTTCAAACACACAAGGTGCACTTGGGTAGGACAAGAAGATTCAAAAGGACCAACTCGTCTTTTCTGTCTCTGTTAGCCAGATAATGTTGCACATACTCTGCAGGGCCAAAACTGAAAGCTACCCCTCACGGACCATGACCTAAAAAAAATTCTTATAACCATGACAATTCTGAGAGGAAAATGTGTTTTACCTTCTGCAGTGTGCAATACAGACACAAATGTTAACAGGGACAACTTCACTGTCTCAGCTGAATTTTTGATGTGACTTTTTTCTGTTCAGATATCAACAAAGACTTTGATCTCACAAAAGAGAACACTTTTCATAAGATCCTGGAATCCTAGCTAGGCCCATCTGCTAAATGATTAAATTCTGCAACTTAAGACATGTAAGCAAAATAAAATTAAACTGCTGAAATAGATTGGATTAGGGGTACGTGTCAACTGCAACATGTATTTGGACATTTACTTAAAAATACTTTTTAAAAATGCTCCACGAAGGAGCATTTTTCTCTCTCGAAGGATTTCCAACCAGTAGCATCAGAGCCTTCTGTCTGCATCCTCCGTATTCAAAGGAAAACTATTCCTTAATCTTCTAAGAACAGTTCAAAACCCCATGTGTACACACAAAAAAAAATCACAATTGCAAAACTTGAATGCCGTCTGCCTGGCAGGAAGGAAGCCATTTTCAATAACTAAAAGCAACATTTACAATAGCAGTCTAAAGGCTAATATGGAACTCACATGTAGATGTCAAAACAAGTTAGGCCCATACAATTCTGTAGGGCAAAACATGCAAATGCATTCCATCAGCCTTGGAAAATATGTCAACATCCCAGGGAACCCAAATGACAAACATCTTGTACTCCCTGAAAGAGCTCCACAGTGTGTAAACATGAGGCAATCAAATGAAGTAGCTGGAATCTCAGGCATTTCTTCAGCTTTATTCACATGTAAATTATTAACTAAGGATTTGGGTGCTTTCAAGTTACTCATTTCAAGCCTAAATCACTCAAAAGCACTTTGAAAAGAACTCTAACTTGCTTTAAATTTCTGAGTTGCTTTCCTTACGGCATACTAACATGTTGATCATATGGAAGCTAATGCTAGCTTCACACGTAGCTGCAAAAGCATTTTGTGTTTGCCAAGTGAAATGGCACAAAGGTGACTCTTCAGCAAGCAGTCCCGTAAGCGCGCAGAGGACACTCTTTGGTACACGTCTGTAGTGCCTGTGGCAGAGAACCCACACGACTGTCTGTCTCTTGGTCGTCTCTTCCAAGAACCAAGCTCTAAGCAATTCCCTCCAGCCCTGTTCGTCTGTAGGCTTTTTTTTTGGCTCCAACCAGAAACCAACTCTTACGTCCGGAGACGTGGCCTCGCGGGACGCAGAGTGACGCTGGCTGGCTCTGAACGGACCGTACGTGGTGCTGGAACAGCACAGAGGGCCAGAGCAAGGTTAGAAAATACATTACTGAGAGTGAGATAAATACATGCAGCCGCTAAGCTGGTGAGGCCAATAATCAGCGCTCACTGCAGACGCTGAGGTTGCAGTAAGGTTGGACAGTCCCATTAAAGGAAGAAAAGCAATTTGAATGTACAGAATGTTTAGCATGTTTTAGTGGTTTATAACAGATCCTGCTTAGTGCATTTTATTGACACACAAAAAGAGCGCTTTCATTCACACATTTACTTTTGGAATATTTTCATAACAAAGGTGTTTTTTCAGCATTTGTTCTTGATCAGATCAGGGACCAGCTTGCCCCGGACAGAAACGGTTCAGTTCAGTGGTTGACACAGGTATCTAGTGCTATTTGAGATGCCCTGGGCTACTCAAGCTATCTGCACAGGGCTAGTAGATAAGACACAGGACCCAAGGAGACCAGCAGCCTCCGATAAAGCAGCTGGAAGTTAGGTAGGCTACTTGACAGCACTTAAAATGACACTAAAGAAGTATGTTTAGGCAATTGAATCCTGAAACGGAGGAACCTGAGATCTAGGCAATACAGTCAGTGGAGCCCAGTGGGCAGTTCAGCTCACACCGAAGCTAGCAGCATCTCAGCTGAATCACCCCCTGGAGCCAGCATACAGGGCACAGCACTGACAAGGGGACTGATGACTCAGGACTGACTCAGTTGCCTGCACTGAGGCACCTGGTGCCATCTGAGGTATCCCATCAGCTAACACTGCAGAAATGTACAGGTCTGTGTTATATCTACCTCATGCGCGTCTCAGCTGCCACAGGGCATGCAGATAGCACCGTGCATCTCTATATGGGCAAGTGAGCTGACCTCTGGATCTCTAGTAACTAACAGAAGCTTAGAGCATATATGGGACACCTACGAAGAGCTAAATTTAGATGCCGATCTCAAACTAAATGCTGCCCAAATGGAAGTAGCCTTATAGCTGCTTTAACGTGTGCCAGTTAGCTCTGGCACCCAGCAGGCTTTCAGTCGTGCCTCGCTGCCTCGGTCACAGAACGGTCTGCATGGTTGGTGCCGTGCCACCACGCTGGCTCTGCTGCAGCCGGGATTCCCTCTGCTCCCTGCAGATTTGCACGTCACCAGATTCACTGTGTACCCTGGCAGCGTAAACAGCCGGCGCTGGATGCCAGTCTTGTAGGAGGTGGGGAGAACAGCGATGAAGTGACTGTAAGACTGACACCCATCCTGGTAACCAAAGAAAATCCAAATTCACCAGCAATCCCACAGCCAAATGTAAGGCCTAAATACAAAACCAGGATATAGGCAACACAGTTGTTTTTCTCCCAAAGAATATTTGTTTTTATTCTGTGGGGGTTTTAATGTATACTATATGAACTGTCCTGGGAACAGTGACTTGGGCTAATGTGCTAAGGCAAGACTAACAACCAGGTTACAGTTTCAGGCTCATTTTGGTCTATATATCCTCTGGTCTCATAGTCTTGAATTTTTAGTTGTGCTGCAGTCCTTCTGTAATAAAAAAATGATCTGCTAGTTCTGCGAGGGTAGTCCAGGTATTTTCCTTGGAGTGGGTTTGACTCTAATCAAGCTAAGGAGGACCAAAACCCAATTTTTCCACTTCTGTGGTAATTACCCAAATCCACAGGCTATCATATAAAAGGCAGTTAAAAGCTTAGGGTTTGGTTCTTTTTTTTTTAATCAAAGCAGCAATGGTTCTGAATTCAATCCAACTGGTCTACCAGTCTCATCACATCAGCACTGGGATCCAGGATGCACCAAAGCTCCTTCCGTGGAGACCCCTGTGGGACTGGAGCATGCTGTGTGGCAGTGCTGGTGTGAGCAGCTGGCCAGTCCTGGGCTTGTGCCCTCCTAAACGTTTGGGTCTAGCAAGCCCAGGTGCCAGTGCAGACACAGTCACTGATCGGTGCCTTTTTTCGTTGATCGTTTTGGTTAAGTGCTCAAAACTTCCTTCAGGTGCCTGTGTCTTTCTTTGGATCGGGGGCTCATTTTATCTAAATCAAAACTGTTGCAGACTGAGAATAGGACTTGGATCAGGGGAATATAAATCTCTAGCTACTCTAGAGTGTATGTCAGTGTAAATCAATGCAACCGTAACACCCCTTAATCCATGGGATTCATGGGATTCGAAAATCATGATGATCCATCATGAAACCACAGTCTCTGGTTTTGGACTCACATACGCAGGGAAACACCACAGCTCAGGCTGAACCTTTAAAAGCACCATGTGTGCACTTCAAAATCAACTTCACTGTTACTGCAGTACTGAAGATAACCCAATAAATTCAAATTGGAAGAGGAGTTAAATGTTTTCAAATATGAAAACACTGACTGCAACAGATGAGAGCTAGGAACTTTAGGATTATTTTCCCGTTTCTAGTTTAGCACTGCATTAGTACACTGTACACAGCATCTTCTATGAGGAGAGCTAAGAAAAATATTAAAAACAGTGAGATAAGAAAGCCGTTTTGTATCAATTTGTCGTCTTTGATTTTATGAACTTAAACACTCAAAATTGTATCAATGTTGGTTTCTTCTAGGGTTACTGAGTAAATTATTAAAACTTGTGTTTTCTAACTAGGCGTATTGAAAAGTGTTTGTAAAGTAGTCATTGGCAAAACAGATGATGAATATGCAACTTCTATCTATTTTCAGGGGGTTAGGGAGGAAAAGACACATTTGGGCTCATTAGAAGTTCCCCATTCATCTGACTAGGGACCTTAAAAAACAAAGGAAAGCATAAGATAAAGTAAATCTAACAGCTGAACTATTTTCCTTACATTCCAAATCAGGAAGGATGAAATGAAGAAAGAAGCCACTTTTTAGCTAGATGAAAACAAAACAAAAAACTTTTGTCTACTATGGTTCACTGCATCATCACAGTAGAGACAGACATCTAGTAAAAGAGAATGAAGAACCCTTAAAAAGAAAAGTTTTCCAAGCTTCTGAGAGAGGAAGGAGTTTGTAAATGAATTAATTCAAGACTTTTTAAAAAAATGAACAGTTGCTTCTAGTATGTAGGAAAACACTGTATAGTAAAGGATCTACAGTACATTATATATGTGGGGAGAGAGAGAGCACGCATGTGCGATCCCAAATAGATCCGTGTGATGAATGCAAGTTTTCTTAAGTCAGGGGGCTTAAATGGGAATGGCAGCCTCTCTCCAAAAGTGTGGAAGTGTATCTTAAATACACTTTGACATTTCAGCTTGGAAAGAGATGCCTGAAGAGGCATGTTGTAGGGGTCTGCAGACTCCTAAGCGGCATGGACAAATGAACAGGGGATGACTATTCAGTATTTGTCAAGATACAAGAAAGAGGCTGTAACCAATGAAGGTATTGCATAAAAGGTATCAAACAAAAGAGCATTTTTCCCAGAGCCCACAACTGAATTCACTGCCCCCTGATGTTGTGGAAACAACAGTATAAATGAGTTCAAAAAGCAATTAGAAGAATAAATAGAAGAAAACTCCGCCACGGTCTATTAAACACAAAGATGTGGCTACAGGCCCTGGTTTGGAAAGAAATACCCACCTATTGCCAAAAACTGGGAACAGACGCTGAAGGAAACATTGCTGTGTGTTTACCCGCTTAAAATAATCTTTTCCTAAGCATCTGCTACAGGCTCTGTCTAGCTAAATAAGCTTTTGGACTAATACAGTACTGTTGGTTTTATATTTTGGTTAAATTCTTCTTTCTCAGGATATTTCAAACTAAAGCAAAGCAAAACCATGTCCAGTAATAAACCTAGGGGAGGACTATCAATAAATATCGTCCAGTATGTTTAAAGACAGAAGTGAGAGACTGATTTAAGTACAAAAAAAAAAAAAAAAGAAGCTAGGGAACCACCACAGAGGCACAGAGAGAAAGCAGCAAAAAATATGTTAGAAGAAGGACTACTGTAATACAGCACATGCAGAAGTTGAGAATTTCAGAGGAACAGAAAGAGCTTTACTATTCACTGACTGAAAGAGGCTTGGAGCTGTAAGCAATGACACCATGTCTGCCTATTTATTCTTTTGGTGTTCAGTATTATAGCAGATATTAATTGAATTATAACTACAATGGGATTCTACCAAAGAAATACCAGCCCACATGATCAGACTCTAAAACCCTCCAGCCGGGCCAAAAATCATTATGAGTATTTTCAGAAGTCAGAAATTGCACTTACCAAAAATAAGAATACAGTTTCCTGCTCTCTCATCTCCATCATTCTTCATCTCTCTCTGTTTCTCATTTGCAATTTTACAGGATTGCCATTATGAAAATAACTTTACACAAACTTTGCAGGGACTTCCTTTGAAAGTTACTCCTTTGGGACATAATTCCAAAACTATACCATTGTCCAACACTGGTACAAAAATATCCAAATCAGGCAAATTCTAATTTTATTGTTAAGCTTGTATCTGAAACAGATGTAGGGAATTCAAGAGTTTCTCCTTACCTCATCCATTCTTTCTGGTGTCTCAAACCTAAACTATAGTTTCCCTTCTCCCCTGCATGAAGACTGTATCATGAGACTATGCTGCTTACCACTGACTGAGTTCCTCGTGTGGAAGACGTTGTAACAGGCGTTATAGTGATAGTACTTGTCACCTTGCTTGCTGCAGGTCGCGAGGACAGGTTGTTCCGGGGCGATCGAAGGACGGTGCCGGTCACAACTTCTTTCTCTGCTGCTATGTTCACCGGTCTGACTGTTATCACAGGACTCGCGCCATCAGGTGCAGCACTGGGAGAACGTTTAAACTGGGAACCTAAGTGGATGTGGATTTTGTTGTCTTCTGTCGTAATAATGTTGGCGTTGGCATTGTACTTGCGGATTGGAGTTGGGACGGTTTGTTTTTCTGGTGTTACTTTGAAGACAGCCCTTCCCATGGTCATATCTTGTGACTGCGGAGAGACAGAGATTTCTGCCGGTGCCGCGGATGTCGATACTGTCATAATCTGAATGGGCGATGCAGGTCTGTCGGCAAAGGGTGCTCTCCCTCCCTCTGGGGACTTTTCCCTGGAGAATGTTGTTATAGTGACTGGAGACATAGAACGATCTGGACCCATGGGACTTTCACTTCCTTTCCCTTTTTGGGGCATAACGTTTGGAGAGGGAATGATGGTTATTCGTGGCTTCTGATTTCCCAAAGTAGGAATGACAGTAGTACTTGAAAAAAATTCCTCTGAGGTTGGACTGGTTATCTCTAAAGTAGCTGTGCTGTTCTCGTGGTCTGGTGTCACCCGAATATGAAGAGGTTGACCCTGCTTTGGTGAAAGGACAACCTCTCCAGGATGCGCTGGACTACTGTGCGTTCGGGTTCCTTTATCAGGAGTTGCCTGAGCCCCAGTTTCCCTCTTTCTCATCCACGGTATCCAAGATTTCCTCATTGCAAGTTCATTCGCGGCTGGAGGATATCTCTCAAGCACTGAAGAACGCTCCATGGGTTTTTTCAGACCTACCTGTCGCAGGTTGCTCATGATGTGATTCTCCTCCTGGAAGGATTTCCTTATAAACACTGCTGGAGTTTCTTCTTCTGCTGCTTCACTGCTTACAGCATCTGTTTGCACGCCAGTGGATGTCACGGGAACATCGACCATTCTTCGTCCATTTATGCTGGGCCTCAGAGCACGGCTGTAACGCTTAGAAAGCTCCAGCTCTCTTGTTAGGTTCAGAACTTCCTGCCCCATGCTCTTGTTTTTATTTTCTTCTTCCATAAACCTTTGCTGCAGAACCGAATAATCGACTTGCAGCTGAGAAAGCTGGTCTTCTTTGTTCATCAGCTCATGGATTTTTTCCTTAAGAGCTTGAACTTCTGCTTTCAAATCTCTGCTTTTGGCCTCTTCCAGACGAAACCTATGCCTCAACTCTGCCTCCTGGCTCACTGCTTCACCTTTTTCTATTGCTTTGGTTTTGGCAATCTGGAGCTTCATCTCCTCCAGCTGTTGAGAAAGAAAGTTAGCTTTATCCTGCTCAGTCCTGAATTTCTGCTCTAGCTGATCATATTCATCTTCTGTCTTCATCAAATCTCCTTCAACCACTTCCAATTGTTTGAGACGTTTTTTCAGTCTTTCAATTTCAACCGTAAGTTCTTTAATCTTGTTGTCCTCATGACAGCCATGCTCTGGTCCTTTCCTGGCTCGACCTCTTGTAATTTCTCTTTCTACTTCCTCTATACCATCAATTCTTTTCTTTAACAGGTCAACTCTACAGCTTAGTTCAGAGGATTTTTCTTCTTCGCTTCTCAGTTTGCCAATTAACTCATCCCTTTCCTTTGTCAAACTAGACACTTTTTCCTCCATTTCAGATTTCAGTTTCAAAAATTTCTTACTTTCTTCTATCAGTTTCTCTGTTACATCCATAACTTTCCCTTGTTCAACTTTAAAATTCTTGTTTAGACCCTCAACCTTTTTTTCCTCCTGTTTTATTTTTTCCATCATATTTTTTCGTTCATCAACCAACATTACAGTAAATGACTTCAGCTTTGTAAGGTCATCTTTTAAGTTTATTTCAGCCTTTTCCAACTTGCTCTCTGATGCCTCAAGGTCTTTCACTCGAGTTTTCACCACTTCCAACTCATTTATCAAATCCTTAGTCAAATTCTTTTCTTTCTCCAAGTTTAAGTGTAGCTGGGTGCATTCAGACTTACTTTTACTGAAAGCCTCTTCCAGTTTCTCCAGTTCCGACATTCTTTTCTGCAATTTTTCCACTTCAAGTTTCAACTCTTTGCAGTGGTGCTCTTCCTCTTGCAGTTTATTTTTCAGCTCTTTACACTGGGATTCAGTTTTTGTGATTTCTTCATCTTTCCCTTCCATTTCAAGCACACGCTTGCGGAGGTTTTCCACTTCTGCCATTAAGCTAGAGTTCCCGCATTCCCCTTTTGCTATTTTATCTCTTAGTTCTTGAAGTTCCTCCTCAGCTTTTTGAAGATTTTTGTTAGTTTCTTCTAGCTCCTCTATTCTGCGAGTCAACCCCACGAGCTTAAGCCTTAACTGTCTATTATGTGACTCTTGATTAGCGAGTTTAGCAGTCATCTCCTCATGTTCTTGAGAAAAAGATGATGTTTTGTGTTCAAGTTCTGCCTCTAACTTCATCAGTTTTTGTCCATCTTCTTTTGTTTTTGCACTAATAATTTTGAGCTTTTCTTCTTCTTCCTTTAGTTTTTGATTTAAGTCTTGTATTTTCTGGCTTTGTTGACCAAGTTGTTCAATATGCATTTGTCTTTCATCCACCAGCATGAGTGCAAATGATTTGAGCTTGACTAGTTCTTCTCTTAGTTTATTGAGTCTCTTTGTATGTTCCTTCTCCTTCCGGGCTTGATAGATCTTCTCCTGCTCAAGAAGTTTCTTCAACCTGAAACAAGTTAGAAGAGATGCATTAAACTAAATGTATGTGTGTATATTGCTGTATTTGTCCTTTTTAAAAATCACCTTCATTTTATCTTTTTTTTTTTTTAATTAATAACCTAGGTAGTCTTTCAATAAATAACTACCTACTACAGTTACATTCCCAAACCAAATATTATAAATTACAGATGTTAACTGAAAACTGTATAAAATCATCCAGAAATCTGAAAAGCAGTGAAATTTTGTACATGTATAGGTAACAAATACATCAGGGTTTAATTCCTTTTCATTTATTTCTCTGTTAGGATGATGTTGGTAAAATTATATAATATCGTAAAAGGACAGGTATATTTACTCACCAATCCATTTATACCAAACTTGTTTTACAAGCCTCCTTATGTCTTGTATACACAAAAATGTGTAAAATAAGATAAAACCTGAAAACTAATTGCTATATGCAGCCATACATAAATAGATCAATACTGGTTATAAATAAACAAGCAGGACAGAAGACTACATTAGCACACAACTGATAACCATCTGGGCATCACAGCCATAAGAAATTAGCAGGAAGATAAATTTACCAGCAGAGCGACTATTTGTTAGAAGGTTTGTTCTTCTAGGCACGTTTCCATTTACAAAAATAGATTTTGTAGACTGCAAGGGTCAGACTAATCAAACCTTTGGCTACAGCTAACCTCAGGTGGAAAATGCTCTTCTTTATATAGTCTGTAAAGCTGTATCTTCAGACAATATCAAAGCTTGCGATCGATAGACAAATTAGGTGTATCCTCAGAAAGAGAATAAAGACCTAAATTTTCCTGCCTTACCCATGCAACATTTCAATGCAGAAATTACAAGTAATGTAAGTATTTTATATCTGTGATTTATATTCAGGGTATGTTGACATCAGCATGGGAAGTGCCTGCACGTATTGTAAGCACAGATTTATGAGCATGGTGATCCTCAACTGACAAAGAGGTACAGAAAACACAAGAATATATACCCTTCTAATGTAACATCCTTACTGTAAAAGCAGCAATACAACTTAGAAGACACAGTTATGCACACTGAATTTATGTGAAATGACATATTTTTCAAACCACTGTCACAGTACCTGCAGCTCCCATTTTCTCTGTCAAGACACATGTGGAGATTGAAATCCACTTGCTTTGCTTACCCTATGTCTGAAGCTTTTCTACTTCTTTATAACTGAGGCATGCAGTGAAGCAATAATAGCAGAGCAATTTACCACCTGTTAACTAACTTGCAGTAAGTGGAACATCCATAGCCTAGCAAAGATAGACTGTTATCAGTATTTTTATCTTAAATGCTGGACTGTAGATGGAGGTGGGTAACATACAGATACACATTCCTCTCTGCTGCCCCAGCAATGAAGTGGTGCAAAGAGCTCCAGGGCACAATGTCCTACACAAAGGATGTCTCCCGGAGCCCTCACCTGAACTCTAAACTCGTAACAACAGCTAAATTAACTTGGACCTCCAGCAACTGTTAATGTTTCACTCCTCATTCCTCAGGGGACCAGAGCGAACAGGAACTGGAAAGAAAAGCTATAAGAAAAGAGAAGGAAATCAGAAAGCAGAACACAGGATGCAGTAGGTAGGGAAGGAGAAGGCTGAAGAATGCATTTGAAAACAAGAGTCAGATAGGATGTGGGAGTAAGAGAATGGTAGGAACCAGTGGGAGAGAGAAAAACAAACAAACCTTACAGCCAACCTTGCTGGGTCACAGATTATTCTCCAAAAAATCTCTTCAGTTTTGGCAGCTCTTTGGAAAGGACTGAAAAGGCATGCTGGTGGATGCCTCATTATGGGTCAAGTTAGAATGTCAAAAGGTAAAAGAAAGACCCGCTGCCACTCACAAAGCATGCACTTTTCACACTGAAGAAGGAACTTTATTAGCATGCAGTATATTCCCTGGCTGCTCTATCATACTGCTTCATGCAAAAGTTTCTGCCAAGAATGCTCCCTTGTCTCCCCCAGGCTACATTTTTAAACAAATAGTATGCATCCTTCCACAACATATCATTTGCCACAACAGAACAGTGTACCCTAACTTGGTGGTGCTCTAAATCACCCATCTCCCAAAGTTATGAACATATATATGAAAATATGAGATCTTCAAAACAGAGAACATTTCCAACCTCCTTTGTCCCACAGGAAAATTTTAAGTTGACCCCTATAAAGTCAAAACAGGGAGGTAGCATTTTGATTTCTTTTTATCAATCTTGCCGCTTGAAAGCCTGTCTAGAGATGCTCAGAAAACTGCCTTTGATTTTGAATTCCTAGGCTGTTCATAAAGGGCACATGTGATTTTCACCCAGCAGTTGTAATGGGTGGTACACGCCAGCCAGGCTGCTAAGCAGAGTGCAAAACAATTCACTGGCCCCACATGGCCCCACAATTACCTGAGAGTCTCCTGGGGAATACTGCCAAGAAAGCCACTGAAAAAAACCCAAATATCCATTAGACTAAGACAAAGAAAAGCCTGGGATGAGACTGAGCAACAGAAGAAGAAAGCACATTAGCACCGTCATTGCCTTGCGGTACCTAGCAGGAGAGTTAGCCATGGGGAGTAAGTGGACAAGTGAACTTTCACAGAAGATACTTGACAATACTTCTGTTTTCCACGTCCAGGAAAACTGCTTCTAAAATCTGGTTCTGTGAGGGATAAGTGGGAAAGCAGCATCCTAATTTGTGCAGATACTAAAATAATAAACAAAATCTACACCTTTTCAGTGTTACTTCTAAACACTGAAATAAATCATAGAATCGTAGAATCACAGAATGGTTTGGGTTGAAAGGGACCTCAAAGACCATCTAGTTCCAACCCCCCCTGCTACGGGCAGGGACACCCTCCACTAGACCAGGTTGCCCAAAGCCCCATCCAACCTGGCCTTGAACACTGCCAGGGATGAGGCCTCCACAACCTCTCTGGGCAACCTGTTCCAGTGCCTCACCACTCTCACAGTAAAGAATTTCTTTCTAACGTCTAATCTAAATCTACCCTCTCTAAGCTTAAACCCATTACTCCTTGTCCTGTCACTACACTCCCTGATAAACAGTCCCTCCCCAAAACTCGTAAAGCTGAATTTAAGCTTGGTCCTGCTTTTCTATCCTTGTACAACTCTCATACCTCAGTGGTTATAGTGGAATTTCAGCAAGACTGCAAGGTGACATTGTCCCCTCTTGACGCTTACAACTGATTTATTATCAGGTGTCTCATCTGACTACTGCTGCTAATGTTTGCTATGTAATGCAGACCTGCATGGGCTTCGACCCAGCACTAAAAGCATCTCAGAGACTCAGAGCATGTGTATCTTCAGTGTTAACCAGAGCAACTGCACTCCGGATTGTGAGAAGGTTGAAAGCACCTGTATTCAGGATAGAGAAGAGAAGAGAAGAGAAGAGAAGAGAAGAGAAGAGAAGAGAAGAGAAGAGAAGAGAAGCTTTAATAATAAAACATGAGGCTAGATACAGCCAAAACCCTGACAAGCCAACAGTTTGGTACCCCCAGTCCAGTTCTTGTACTTGCTGTCTCAGTTTGGGGTTTTTTTTTTAGAGATGAGGAGAAATATTTGGATAACATTGGATAATCTGCATTCATCAGTAAGAGTCTGAGGGGCTCAGCATCCAGACCACAGTGGGGAAGCAGGCAAATCTGCTCAGGTTCCTTGTGGTGAGCGGTATTGTACCACTTCCTTGCCTGCGGAAAGCACTGCTGAGGTCTGTGCAGCACTTCTTTTCCCCACAGGTTACCACAGGTATCATGTCAAAACATGCAGCCCTAGTCATTCCCTGAATACATGGTTTTCTGCTGCCATAAGGGTCCAGGTAGTCTCTCCCTCTTCTTGCTATCTGTCCTCTCCCCAGTATTTGAAGAATGGGTGCCCTACAGCTATCCAGTGTTTAAGATGATCACACTCCCCCTTTGCAGTAAACAAGGTAAAATAGCAACCCTTATGTATGACTATGCGCAAAGCGTTAACTGCTTCAGTTAAAAACAAACACCCCAGGACAATGCTGTTCCCTGATTTTGTTCCACAAAGGAACTGACTGGCACGGGGCAGGACACTGGCCTACACAAGCTACCGATGCAACCTCACCTGGTCCCCAGTGCATCGGGGAGCGGCGTCTCCTGCAGCCCTCACAGCTGCACCGGGCAGTGCTATGGCAGCAGGAGGGAGGTGTGTGGGCAGCAATGCTGGGGAGTTAGGAGCCTGAAGACTTTCAACACCTGGACACCAGAGTGGAGAAGGAGAAACTATAGACTTAGTTTTAATCTTCTTCATGAACACTGTGCTGAAAGCAGCCAGCAAGGAGGAAGGTGGGAGTGGACGGGCAGTAACCAGGCCCTCCCTGTCCCCCCTTTGGTGCTGAAGCATTTTATTGCACAAAGTCTTTCTGTCTCCTCTTCCCACCTCCAGGCCTCAGACTGATCATCAGAAGCACAATGGGATGCTGATAGCTGCTGCTATCCCTCCAGAGATGAGGTTTCATAGAATCATAAAATCATTTAGTTGCAAAAGACCTTTAAGATCACCAACTCCAACTGTAAACCTAACACTGCCAAGTCCACCACTAAACCATGTCCCTAAGTGCCACATCTACACATCTTTTAAATACCTCCAGGGATGGTGACTCAACCACCTCTCTGGACAGCCTGTTCCAGTGATTGATAACCCTTTCGGTGAAGAAATTTTTCCTAATATCCAATCTAAACCTCCCCTGGCACAACTTGAGGCCATTTCCTCTTGTCCTATTACTTGTTACCTGGGAATAGAGACCAACACCCACCTGGCTACAGCCTCCTTTCAGGTAGTTGTAGAGAGCAATAAGGTCTCCCCTCAGCCTCCTCTTCTCCAGGCTAAACAACCCCAGTTCCCTCAGCCACTCCTCATAAGACTTGTGCTCC